GGTGGGTGGGCCAAACTATATAAATATATATATAGTTTTGGTGAAGAAGCATAGAGTAGACAGGATGAAATGACTTTACAATATACTAGGACAAGAAATTGTATCTTTCATGTTAGATTATAAAAAATATAAATATTTAGTTCTCGCAATTTTACAATGAATTTATTCAAAGTTTTATTTGCAAAATATGATATGTTAGGAAAGTATTGTTGATTGTCTATCTATTATAATCAATACGTTTTTTTTTTTTTTGGTATTTATAATCAATAAGTAAAATATTTAATTAAATTAGTAAAAAATGTGAGTAGTAATTATCTTATACTATCCAAATAACCATCAAGATATTGTTTAATTAGAACAATCTTCATGCAAATAGTAAATATTATTTTATTAATTTATAAATTATCAATTGTTCATGATATGAAGTATGAACTAACCTAACACTTCCAAGTGCAAAAGAAGTCTTACCACGAGCATTGAAAAATATGCATGAAAAGGAGGCTGATGATCCAAATCCAGAAGCTGCAAATGAGAGTACAAACTGCAAAGGAGGGTCTGGCATTTACTGGTGCAATTACAAACTCATAAAAGCAACGGCACTGGATATTGTCTTCTCCTTCGTCAAACACGTGTATCTGCTTTTAAGCCCCAAACACAATATTTCTTTTTTTAATATGCTGAGTGCTGGTGTGCTACAATGCCTCCATGCATATCCATTATTTGGACAGGATGTGACCCCCACGTTACACAAAATAAATATAAAAAATTGTAAGGAAAGGAAAAAAGATCTCATTTCCCATTTATCAAGGAAAATGATAGAAAGAAGAAAGAAATTCCATAAAAGTTGATTATTAGTGCAATAATTGTCGAGCATATAAATATATTAAACCAACTAGTTTTTTAACCCGTGCCGTGGACGGAAAATTTTAAATATTTTTAATAATAAAAAATTTTATTAATCTTAAATTTTTTATATTATTTTAATAAAAAATGTAAATTTTTATTGATTTATTATATATAGTTATGCATTCATAAATGTTAAAGTACAACTAAATAAAAGTTTATACATACTATAATATTTTTTCAAAATCAATTTTTGTAAAATTTCAAAGAATTATAAAAATTTTTTCTTTTTCATAAAAATTATTTTTTCAATTTATTTACCAAACAATAAAAATTTTACTACTCATATTTTCTTATTCGGTCAAAAAAAAGTAAAGTTTAATATTAAATAATCAAGATTTTTATTTTTGGTTTATTTTTTTTAGTGTTAAAAATGTTATTATTTACGCTTTTGGATTCCTAGCATGATGTTGATACAATTTCTTTAAGGTTTTTATTCTTTCTGTACTTTATTGTATTATTAATTATGGTTAGATATTTATAACCATTTCATTATTTTTAATAAAATATATCATTAGATTAAATTGTAAAAGATATTTATACTAGCAAAATATTCTTAAATTATTAAATCTTATAAAGCTAAACCAAAAATAAAACATCAAATAATAATAATAATAATGATGATGATAATGATGATGATGATGATGATTGAACTACAAAACATAATTATTAATTTGCTCATAACCATTAGCATTTTATTAGTTCTTATTTTTTTACATATATACTTTAACATACATAGTTGTTTTCTTATTCGAACATAAACCAAATATACAAATTAAGAATTATATATAATTTAGATCTCTTACAATTATACATAGCAAATATTTAGTTTAACTAAATATATATATATATAAACATATGAACCAATTTATTTTAGAATAAATAAAATCTAGATGCATATATCATATAATGCAAATAAAACCAAATAATAAGTTTGAAGAAACAAACAAATAGAGAAAAATAATAAAAAAGGAAATATAATATTAAAAAAAAGTAATGAACTACACCTATTACCTAGTTGAAACCCAGCCAAATATGCACTCATTTTCCTTTCATTATTGAAATCTAAAAAAAAAAACAAAAAAAATCAATATTATAAAAAGAAAAACAATCCAACACCATCACAAACCTATTTTTAAAACTAAAAAATATAAATAATAAATAATAAAGGCATAAAATGAATTTACTTATTCATGAGTATGATATGGTTATTATTCTTTCTAGCTTTTACCCATTTTTGTCAAAAATCGTAAACCGTAACCATCAAATACAAAAAAAATGATTGTATTCTTCAATTTCTAATTCTAATAATAATAAATAAAATAACATTTGTGAGAAGATGATGCACTCACTTTATGAATTCTTTAATTTTATTTTGAGATTTTGATTTCAGCAAATAAAAATTTATTAAGCTCACACATACACACACACACATATATATACATGTAGAGTTATGATTAAATTTTAAAAAAAAAAAGATAAATTATGATTTAATATATTTAAATTCAAAATTTATGTAAAATTTTTAATTTTTGATATAGTTTGATTTAAATTTAAATAGTTATCCAAAAATATTAAATTTATATAATTTATTAAATAAAATTATTTGAAAATAGATAAAAGTTTATTAAGCCTATATATATTTAGAATTATGATTAAATTAAAAAGGTAATTTATAATTTAATATATTTAAATTTAAAATTTATATAGAATTTTTAATATTTTATAGATTTTGATTTGATCAAATATACAATTGAGAACATAGATATAATTTAAATTTCCTATACTTATGCATAGTAAATATCCAATATATATATATATATATATATAAACATATGAACCAATTTTTTTTAGAATAAATCAAATCTAAATGTATATATCATATAATGTAAATAAAACCAAACAAAATGTTGGAAGAAACAAACAAATAGAGGAAAAAAATAGAATATGAAAAAAATAATGAACTATACCTATTACCTAGTTAAAACCAATCTAAATGTGTACTCATTTTCCTTTCATTATTGAAATCTTAAAAAAAAATCAATATTATAAAAACAAAGAAAAAACAATCCAGCACCAACACAAACTTATTTTTAAAACTAAAAAATAATAATAAAAGAAATAAAAGAATAATAAAAACATAAAATGAATTTACTTGCTCATGAGTATGATGTGATTATTATTTTTCTAATTTTTACCCATTCCTGTGAAACCTCATAAACCATAATCGTCAAATAAAAAAAAGATTCTATTTTTTAATTTCTAATTCTAATAATAACAAGTAAATTAACATTGGTTAGGGGTCACACTCTCATTTTATAAGCTCTTTATTTTTATTTTGAGATTTAGATTTTATCAAATAAAAATTTATTAAGCTTACACATACACATATAATATATATATATATATATGTAAAGCTATGATTAAATTTGAAAAGAAAAGATAAATTATGATTTAGTATATTTAAATTCAAAATTTATGTAAAACTTTTAATTTTTGATAAAGTTTAATTTGAATTTAAATAATTACCCAAAAATATTTAATTTATATAATTTATTAAATAAAATTATTTAACAGCAAAATAAAAGTTTATTAAGCCTATATATATATATTTGGATTTATGATTAAATTAAAAAGAAAGATAGTTTATAATTTAATATATTTGAATTTAAAATTTATGTAAAATTTTCAATATTTTATAGATTTTGATTTGAATTTAAATAATTATCCAAACATATTAAATTTACATAATTATCCAAACATATTTAATGTAAATAATTTATTAAATAGAGTTATTTGATAAATAGTATAATATAAATATTATTCTATGTGTCATAAAGAGAGATTATTCACATAAGCGTCTATGTTAGCACATCTTATTCGATAACTTTATATCATATAATATAATATATATATTAGATTGAGCTTCTTGGACATGAGTTTTGCATCTAATTTTTCAAATATATACATTACCTTTTAAATTAGTTGATATTTAAATATTTTTATAAGAGATTATAATTTGAAAATAAAAAAATTATAAGTATTAAAATTTAAAATTGTTGGATATATCTTTTAAAAATAACAAATAAACTTACTAAATTAAGTTTTGAATTTTTATTATTTAAATTTTTAATACAAATACATCATGTCTCAAGCTATTTATTTATGACAATTAAATTAAAAAGACAAAAAAAAAAAATTCACCAACTAGTACTTATAAATATTAAGTACTGTACTTAAAAACTGAGCGCGAAATTAAGTGATGAAATGGAAGGCAAGCCATCTTATAAATGTATAGCCAAATTGAATTGCAAAGTGAACAAACAAATTAAAGATTGATAGACTGGCATAGAATATTGATTGAAGCTCAACCACCGTAGTTCCACATTTATGAATATCATGACCCTTTATTACGAGATTCAATTTTTTATCAACGATTATCTAACTTGTTGATAGATCGTTAAACTTTTTAATATGAATGATTAAAATTTAATTTTTGATATATATATATATATAAAGTCCACTTCAATTGCGGACAAATAGGTTCTACTTAGTTTGATTTTGTTTTTTTTAGGCTATAAAATTAGAAAAACTAGGAGGTGACCTACTTGGATGGTCACCTAGGGAACTAAGCATTTGTAAAAATATATGATATAATTGTTTTAAATATTATTTATCTAATTTATAGCTCTAAAAGAAAAGCAGCCACAAATTATTGTTTTTTTACGAAAAAATCAGAACAAAATAGAGTCAAGCAATTAAAGTTAAATTTAAAGAAACAAGTGCCGATTAAATCTAAAATTAAAATTATGAAATTATGCAGATAATGCTCAAATTTTGTTGTTGAAATTTAAATTTCACATACAGTGAATGTGATAATTTTTTTAAATTAAATAGAAAATTTAAGAAAAGTAAAAAAAAAAGAAAAAGGGAAATAGCAATATTGCAGAGTTCACTCGCTGACTCAGAACCAAAACTCGACCACAAAAAATGGGAAAAGCATATGCAGTAATTCGCTATTACTCAATTAACCAAGGAAAAAAATGTAAAATAATTAAAAATTACCTTGACCTTTTTCTCCCTATATATCATCCGCTAACACTAATTGTTTCTCGAAACTAGAAACATCATAACCGAAGATCCCACCATGGTCTCTTCTCTTTCTCTCTCAGCCTCTTTCTCTGTTTTTCAAATTTATCCTCCGTCACCTTCCCGTGCCAGATTCCGACCACCTCTCGCAGCTACCGCCACCGCCACCGCTGAAGCCACTACCACCGCCAGCTCTTACACTTCGAAACAAGAGAGAGGTTCTACGAGCGGTGGTTTTCTGAGCCGTCCAGCAATGGCAGCGACATGCACGTCGCTATACGAGGTGCTAGGGATTTCGGTTGGTGCTTCGAACCAGGAAATCAAGGCGGCGTACCGTCGATTGGCAAGGGTTTGTCATCCGGACGTGGCAGCAATCGATCGGAAAGATTCATCGGCCGACGAGTTCATGAAGATCCATGCGGCTTATAGCACCTTATCGGATCCCGAGAAACGAGCCGTCTATGATAGTAAGCTTATCTGGAGACGCCAACGGCCGTTGACTTCGGCTTCTAGGTTTTGTGGATATACAGGGAGGAGTTGGGAGACCGATCAGTGCTGGTAAACGAGTTGACTCTCTCAATTACGCTACGGAGTTAGAAGTTGAGCTCATCAACGGTTTCTAATTTCCGTAAGTTTGTACAGTTAGTCGGTTAATTATGTATCTCAGAAAAAACAAAAAACCGATTTACTAACGCGAAAAAAAAAAAAAGAAGACCGGAAGATTTGGCCGGAGAAATCAGAGGCGTTGATTGTGCCACGTAAGAGCTCTGCTCTTTTTTTAGCCTTTGCGCTTGGCTGATGCATAGAAGAAGACTAAGAAAAACATGAATCCCTTCCCTTTGTACTTTTACAGTTATCAAAATCACAATTACAAACGAAAAAACAAGGGTTTTCTTTGCTCGATACTATTAGCTGTGAAATTATGTGTGTGGAGTTTTTATTTTGAGATCAAAAATGAAAAAAAAAAAAATCCATAGCAAAAAACTTTTAGAAGCAAGGTTGGATTATCTAATTGAGATTATGTAGCTCAAGTTTAATAAAATTCAAAGTAAGGTTTCTCTTAATTCTGGTACTTTAACAGCTGATGGGAGTTGGCATAATTGAAACTAAAAATTTAACATTTTATCATCAATAGAACATACGATCACCAAATATGGCTGTTGGTGTGATTTAGTAATTTGATCTTGTTTCTTTCTTTGAAAAATTAATTTCAATATTTAAAAAAAAAATAGATTTAAAACAAAAGTACGAAAATGGGACCATTTCATACTAGTTTTTAACTATTAAGGGAACATTCTTTTGGTAACCTTTTATGAACTCCTAAATCAAAGAATCAAAGTCGGATTTTGCTATCCTTCCCTAGAATTATTGAGAATAAAGTATAATTTTTCGCGACCATTTTTGAATTTTCTGTCATTGTCGCCGATCATTAATTTTCAATAAATATATTAATTAAAAATTCCACCGTTACATGTATAAAATATTTTCCATTTTATATTTATATTAGAAAGACATATGCCGCTAGAACAAAATCACTCAATTATTAATAGGATATAATTATCTTTTCAAATTAAGAGCACGTATCTTAAAAGTTATGACATAAGGGTTGGAAGAATAAAGTTAGAAGAATTTAAGATTAATGGTATTCTTTTTATAAAAGAAAAAAAGAACTTTAAAATTAAGGCTTTGCTTGTTTTGCTGAAATTGATTTTTAGAAAATGTTTTTTAAAAAATATTTATATTTTCTAAAAAAATAAAGATTTTATATTATTTGAATGAGTTAATGAAAAATATATTTTATTGTTTAGTTATTTTTTGGAAAATCTGTTTCCTTTTTTCAAATAATGTTAATATAACTAGTAAAATATTAAAAATTATGTATTATTAAAATATATTGAAATTATTTATTATTAGAATTATTAACATTCAAGAACAATTATATTTTAATAATAATATTTAATATTAAAATATTATAATAATATAAAATACTTAAAATAAAACTATTTATTTTCTTTGTATTAATATTTTAAAATATTTAAAATATTATTACTATTATTAAAATAATATTTTATTAATATTAAAATAGTAATATTTATTATTAGAAAATTTATACTATTAAATTATTTATATTTTATATTAAAAGTATCTATTATTAAATCATAACAAAAATATTTTTTTATTTATATTTATTATTAAAATAGTAGTATAAATACCTTAATAAATAAAAATATAAAATTATATATTTTAAACTAAAAAATTATTAAAACTATTCATAATAATAAAAATATTATTATATTATTTATCGTTAATTATTAAAATAAAAAATTTTATTATATATATTATTATATATGATTGAAACAATAATATAATACTATTTATTATTGAAATACTAAAAATATTTATGTTTAATAATATACAAAATAAAAATATTTAAAATTGAAATATCAAAAGACTTTTAATGTTAATATTTTAATTAAAATTAAATAAAATATTTTTATTAATATAATAATATTTTAAGTCGAATTAAATCAAGTTTGAGTTTAAAATATTATGTTCAAAGTCTTACTTCAATAAAATTATGAAAATATTTAAAATTAAAATATTAAAAGACTTTTAATATTAATATTTTAAATTTTTAAGTAAAATTAAATAAAAATAGTATTTGTTAATTTAATAATATTTTGAATCTGATCAAATGAAGTTTGAGTTTAAAAAAATCATGTATAATATCCAATTTGAGTAAAATTATACTTAAATACATTGATAAATAGTTCTATTCATGGATAACTTTTTTTTGAAAATTATTTTTCCCTTTTAGGGTCTATTTGGATGAATTGTGAGATTAATTTTAATGAAATTGAAAACATTAATAAAATTTATTGTCACTATAAATCAAAAATAAAATTTTAATAAAAAATTTATATTGAATGAATCTCACTAGAATAAGCATTTGGATTCAACTGATAATTATTAGAGCTTAAGGTGCAGTTACATCTAAATGCCCATTCAAATGGTAAGAAATTTTTCAAAATTTTTTTATTTTTTATTGATTAATAAATTATTTTTCGTTAATCAATTAATTTTCTACCAAATAAATATTTAACAATAAAAAATTATTTTTCAAAAAATAATTTTTATGAAACAAATGGAGCTTTAAATCTATACGTTTTTTCACATACTAAAATTTTTAGGATAAAAAAATCACGCCGTATCCCATGCTTTACTCGGGTCTACTTCTTTGCTTTTAAATGATTTTAAAGATATGCCCAATCATACTAATTTGATGTAGGAGAGGATTCCTAGCCTTTGCAACTGAATTAATCTATCTAAGTTTTACAACTCAATGTTTGGATTTAGGTTTTTTTTCTTTTTTTTTTTTTAATAAAAAGGTTTTAGCTTGAGAGTAAAAATAAATATAAAAGTACTGAAATTTAAAACTATAAATTTTATATATGTTAAATATATTTTTTAAATTAATTATATAAATAAATAAAATAAATTTCGATTTCTTTTTTTTTTTCAATTTATTGTTTGGAGGGGCACATATAACATGTCCTAAAGCTGAAGGGATCAATGCCTGTTGATTTGAATAGTAAAAATTTAATTTTTTAAGTAAAGTTTCAATTTTAAATTTTATGAATAAAAAAAATAAATTTAAAAGAATTTGATTTCATTATTAGATCTGAGTTAATTTAATTTTAAATTAATCAAATTCAAAATAATTTTTAAATAACAAAAATTTCCAAAAAAAAAAAAAACTGAAAGGACAATAATTGGAATTGAATGATTATCTCACCCTCTGAGTACACTATTAGTGTCTTTAAACGGCAGCATGATGATTGTTTCTAGAAGATATACGCCCTTTGGAATACGTGCAAGAAAGTCGATTAACATGTTTGTCTGAAGACAAGGAATTAGGGGACCATCAGCTTGAAAAGCAAACGCCAGCAACTGTTTCCTGACAAAAGTATGAATTTGCGTGTCGTCGACTTGGAACAAAATTTTGCCCCTGCTTTCTACTTGCCCAGTGTTCTAGAACCTTTTGATTCAATCTAATTTTGCCAGTTAATTTTGACAAGGAATTGAAAAGTTGGACACATCGTTAAATTATTGCCAATTCATATCAGCGTTTGCTTCGGTGGATTTGATTTGTTTTGTGGAAAAATGAGGGATGTCGACAAAATCCGAAGCCTGAAATGTCAAGAAAAGGATTCCAAGTTAATTTCAATGTTCCAAAACAAGTGTTCGAGAAACTTTTGTATGCTATATTGTCTTCTATTGAAATGAGAAGAAGAGTCAACAAATTAATTTCTTTTTCCCCAATCAATTTTGCCCATCACTACCTAAGAAAATACCACCAACAATTGAATTTGGTTCGTTTTGAGAATATCTAATTTTTAATTTGAGTAATGAAAGATTGACCATGTCCTATCTTCTACTTGCTTTTGGATTGTCACAACTCACGACTTGTCCTGGAAAACCGGCCCCAGGGCCAAACTCCACTTCTCTTATTATAGACGAGGATTTGAAGATTCCAATTTTGTCGGCAACAACCTTCCTCTGTCTTAGTATCATTGAAATATATTGAAGAAACTGTCAGATGGAAGCTTGGCAGTTATAAACATATTGCTAGAGATCAAGGTAACATCGATCTTTGTCATAGCTAGCACATTACACGAGAATTTTTTTTTTTTTGTTAATTCTTTCCATGTAAATAGCTATATACCTTTGCTTGTTTCTGTTTCATAGCAGGTAGTATTATCTTTGTACCAAGTTTTCTTGCTTCTCGAATAGATAAAATTTTTACTTATCCAGAAAAAAAACAATTTCTAATTATAAGCCACGCTAAAAATTTTCAATCTCAAGGGTCATAGTCGTGTTCATCTCAATTTTCACCCAATTTTGAAGCGGTCAAGATTGTTGAAATTTGAGTAATGGTTGGTTTACAACAGCTGCTTGAAGATGACCATTGATGGAATGTGTGAATTTAAATTAATACAAGATTTTGTCATCCCAAGTTTCGCTTTACCTTCCATCCAATAGTTCTCTAATTAGGATGAAATTTTTGCCCTTCATGCCTTGCAGTAGTATTAAGTCCACATGGAAGACTCCTACATTTCTTTGAACATTTAACTGACTCTGAACACTTTTTCTTCTTTTTTGATTGAGGAAATTCTTTGCAAACAGATAAGTAAAAGCTATTACTTTTGAATTTGAAGTTTAATTTAGTTTGTTCATATAATTATTTTTAAATGTAGCATTCAGCATATCTGAATCTCAAATATTCAATAAATTTGAAACTCAAATTTTAGCTCCTCCAATCTCTTTTATTAGCCCAAACTATGACCTTTAAAAAATATATATTATTTTGTATGAATTCTATGCCAAATGAATACACAATAAAAGCTATTACTTTTGAATTTGAAATTTAATTTAGTTGGTTCACATACTTATCTTTAAATGTAACATTAAGCATGTCTGAATCTTAAATATTCAATAAATTTGACACTAAAATTTTAGCTCCTCCATCTCTTTTATTAGTCCAAACCCAAACTGTGACTTTAAAAAAAAAAAAAACTATTATTTTATATGATTTCTACGCCAATTGAATGCACAAAAAAAGCTATTACTTTTGAATTTAAAATTTAATTTAATTGATTTATATAATTATCTTTAAATGCAACATTTAACATGTCTGAATCTCAAATATTCAATAAATTTGAAACTTAAATTTTAGCTCCTCAAATCTCTTTTATTAGCCCAAACTGTGACTTTAAAATAAAAAACTATTATTTTGTATGATTTCTACGCCAAATGAATGCATAGTATCCAAAGATATTATTTTGGTTGTGTTTGTACCTTTTTTTCATGAATGCTGATAGTGTCAAGCCCTGGAATTCCTA